GTAAGTGGGCTTGCCCAATTTTCTCCTCTTTGTAATATTTCATTTAGATTTACTAAATATAGAACAAAAATGCATCAGCCATCCCAGTGCTGGGCATCCTCAACAAAACACGAAATTCATAGTATGTATGTACAGTTTGAGGTGGGCATTTTGGCCTTTTTCCTGTAGATCTGATTGAAGTCTTTGGGGAAAACAGAGTAGTTTGTATCCCATTATTTATAGCAAACTACATTATCCAAACCCAACATTCAATACTAGGGAAAACCTGGATACATTGAACAAACAGCACTAGAGTTTTACAGTTTACTTACATTTTACAGCTAATCTTCTATCCTCTTAACCCAACTCAACAGAACGGATTCAGCTTGATCTGTGACTTTCCACAGTCTAACCTTTAAACACCCAGTGGTTATATAAAAGTAAGCCTTGCCCCACAGATTTAGATGAGATTGACCTCTTGCTCCAATAAGAGGAACATCATCCTTTAGAAGAATGCAAGTCTAGAACAAAACAGCTACAGCAGCTATCTTTAAAATAAGGCAAGAAAAAAGAAACCCAGCTCCCATGGCAGGCTATGTAAATGCTGCCAGATGCTAGACTCAATCTCTATTACATGAGACGTTGCTACACAGCAACTGGGTCTATGAAAAACAGCAGCCTAGAATTTAATTATAAATAAAGGAGAGCACCTTGACACCTGATATTGTGGTTTCCAACTCCAATTTTCAAAGTGAACTTCAACATGAGTCAGCTGGTGCGAAATCTTCAGAAGAGCTCAGCGTCCAGCAGCTCCCACTGAGAACGACGTTCTCCCCTTCACCCACCTGAACAGCAGGAGCTCCTAGCCCAGGGGTCGGCAACCTTTCAGAAGTGCTGTGCCGAGTCTTCATTTATTCACTCTAACTTAAGGTTTCGCGTGCCAATAATACATTTTAACGTTTTTAGAAGGTCTCTTTCTCTAAGTCTGTAATATATAACTAAACTTTATTGTATGTAAAGTAAATAAGGTTTTTAAAAAATGTTTAAGAAGCTGCATTTAAAATTAAATTAAAATGCAGAGCCCCCCGGACCGGTGGCCAGGACCCGGACAGTGTGAGTGCCACTGAAAATCAGCTCAAGTGCCGCCTTCAGCACGCGTGCCATAGGTTGCCTACCCTTGCCCTAGCCACTTTGCACCTTGGAAAACATGTGTCTCATCCAGCCTTGCAATTCCAGATGACTTCAGGTGGCAGTGAGCTCACAGATTGCATGAAAAACTATTTCCTTTTTGTCAGTTTTGAATTTCCCACCTTTTAACCTCATGGCACATCCCCTTGTGATCGGAGACAGGAAGAGCAGAAGTTCCTGATTTACCTTTTCTAGAAGACAATTCATTATTGTAGGTACATTTATCCTGTCCCCTTCTCATTCATTTGTTTAAGAACAATCCCAGTCTTTTCAATCTCTCTTCATAGGAAAGTTTTTCCAGGCCCTTATTCATTCTCACCCCTCTTCTCTGAGCTCTTCCAGTTCTACAATAGTCTTTTCAAGATTAGGTGACCAATACCGCACACAGTATCCAGAAGCCGCCTTTGGCCATGATGAAAGTTGACCATTTCATCCTATTCTTTGCTTTCTGTATCCTACCTAGGTTTTTTCCCCCCCTCCATGAAAATTTGGCTACTTCTGTCCCACCACTACCATGTTTGATCAGTTCTCTGCACCTGATATAACTGCCAACCTGAGACAGTCTTGGGCCATATTAATGCGGACTTGAAACATCAGCTCAATATGCACAAACACAGACTACTTTCCAGTAGTGAAACTTAGAGATTCCCCATAGGCTCCTCCATGCCACTTAAACCCTCATTAAGGGTTTGGAAACTCACCCCAAAATATGTAGAAGTATCCCACATAAACTGCAGCTGGGATGAATGCTAGCTGGCTGAGATTCAACCGAGACCAGCACAAGACTTCCCCACTTTGATTTAACATCTTATTTCTGATTTGATTTTGAGAGACTGTCTGAGAACAATGGAACAAATACTCTCCAAAAGCAAACAGATTGTTAACCTTTGTCAGACATCAGAGAATTAAAACTAAGTAACCCCCCCAAATGACACAAACTAAGGCTTGGTCTCCACTACAGCTTACTTTGGTATAATCCACACCCCCAAGAGATGCAAGTTACACCAACCTAAGCACTGTGGTGGACAGCGCTGTGTCAGCAGGAGAGCTTCTCCGACCAACATAGCTACTGCCTCCCATGGAGGCAGAGTTTATGCCAAGGGGAGAGCTCTCTCCCATTGCAGTGTCTTCACCAGATGCACTACAGCAATGCAGCTGACTTTGATTAAAACAATACTTGAATTTTGTCTACAGCACAATCATAAAAAAAGAAGAACATTTCAACCTCTTTAGTAAAATGCAGAGAGCAACTTTAAAAACAAAACAAAAAAAAAGTAGAAGCTTTGAGTCAACGGGACCTGATGGGTGCACAGCCTTTTTGAACATCAGATAACCCTGGACAATTTTGAAAAACTGGACATAGTGTTTTCTTGGGTGTCCAAAATTACATTTTAACCTACGGAGTGTATAAAACTCTTTTGCCTTGTAATAATTCTTAACTGAACAACAAGCTGACATATCTCACAGTCTTTCTGGTTAATAGGATACAAATTTCAAATATTTTTAATCTATTTCAAAATGAAGGCTGATTCTGTTAAAGTTTTCAAAGAAGTAGAAAGTATTCCAATTCCAATATCTAATCCAGTGCTTCTCAAAGTCGGGCCCCCGCTTGTTCAGGGAAAGCCCCTGGTGGTCCGGGCCGAATTGTTTACCTGCTGCATCCACAGGTTCGGCCGATCGCAGCTACCACTGGCCGCGGTTCGCCACTCCAGGCCAATGGGGGCGGCGGGAAGTAACGCAGGCCAAGGGATGTGCTGGCCGCCACTTCCCACCGCCCCCACTGGCCTGGGATGGCGAACTGTGGCCAGTGGGAGCCGCGATCGGCCGAACGTGCGAACGCGGCAGGTAAACAAACCGGCCCGGACCGCCAAGGGCTTTTCCTGAACAAGAGCAGCCCGACATTGAGAAGCACTGATCTAATCTTCTTAGAATTGCAACAGATTCTATGAACATATAGGAGCCATTCCAAGCATCCTTTTAACTAGTCAAAACATTCACACAAAAGAGTAACACGCACAATTTATCAGTACTACTGATGGGAATTTCTTGCATATACATACAGATTCCAACTGAGATTTCAATTCATGTACTCTTTCACACAGCTACCAAAAAAAAAAAAAAAAGAAGAAGAAGTCGGGAAAAATCAGAGTACAATAATTTCAGGAGACTAAACACAAAGAGGAAAAGGGATTTTTTAGGTCTGAGTGGGGGTTATGTTATGCCTCTCACTCAGGTTAGTAGAACAGCTTTTGCCAATGTTGAGAGAGAGAGAGATATTTTCCTTTGTACTCGATTTTTAGATGCATTTAGTTCACCTAATAAGCGCTGGAAGTGGAGTTCTCCATTTATCAACACTACAGTTACAGCCTAGGAATTATCACTGCTGGCCCAATCAGGGACCAGGATGGATCATGGGGGAGGGAGGGGTTAGCAAACACCCACCAGACGGAGAAGCAGGCACATGCAGTGCTTATTGCTGTTATTTGTGCATTTTACTTATTTTCTTTGCAGTTAATTTTTTTGCTTTGCTTTTAATTAATTCTATTTAGCGTAAACACCAGATTGGTCAGCAGTCAAGGAAAACTGTATTGTGTATCCACAAAAGAGAAATCCAGGTATGCACCTCATATTTCAATAGCTACCAATGGCTCACAGAAATGGAAGCTCACGCTCTCCCTTCAGTCACTTATATCACTTAATACACTGAGGCGGAGATGTAATTGACTGAGCCAGGACATAGGCTGGGGCACAACTAGCAGCTCTCTGCTTTAAAGAGCTTAAGAAATATTTAAATTGTCCACATTATACCACATGAGCTGAAGCAGGAGTCCTACTATCCTCAGTTTAAGTACTATTCCACCTCCTTTCCAATTAAAAATCTTTATAAATAAAATACATTTCAAAGTACTTTCATTGGGGGGGGGGGGGGGCGGGGGTAGAAAGCTCAGAGCATTGCTTAAGGTCGAGAGTTTATTTTGATTTTATGCCAACATAGGCACTGATTGCTAACGCATCCTTTTCTGGTTCTCTTTGAGGCTGTAGCAGCAAAAGTGGCAACAGTTTTATAAAGTGAGATAGCAGCATCTGCATACATACTAAATGGAACAGAATCCAAACCAGAGGCCATCGGAAAATTTCCATTACCTAAACATGTACTGTTGTGATAACTACCACCTCTTTCAAACACCGGCTTTAAAGTTTCACGTATACTTAAAGCATCAACGAAAATTTGTTTTAAAAAATGTTTCAGAGTTATTCTCCAAACAATAACTCTCAAACGGAGGTCTGAGACCCGGATAATGAAGCACCCTTCAGTATTCAGGAAGTGACTATTCCTCCTAGATCTAGACAGGAATTTGAGGTTTTCTGAAGGCTTTTTTTTAAACAAAAAAATTAAATAAAAACCTTCTTTGCATTCAGAGTACCTGCTTCATAGCTTCCTTTTTTGTTTTTTTGAGTAAGCAATAAAATGTGAACAGAAAAATGCAGAGTGGGGAGTGCAGGCAACTTGGGGGTTAAGTCTTACTCTATGTGAAGACCCTACCCTGAGAGGCAAAAATAGACCACATAGCTAGAAAAGGGGGGACAAAGGGAATATGACCATGCAGCAGATTAAGTTTATTTTGATCCTGTCTCCTTCAGGCCATACTAATGTTCTCCCATGTAACTATGTACTGTAGTTGTAGGGAAGGAATGGAATTTGGCTGGGAAGAGAAGTATCCCCCCAAAAGTTACCCACAAAACCAAACAGCTTTGAAAACCAGTGCTCTGGAAGAATGAGTGATATTTAAACCACGTAAAGGCTACTAAAGCCAATCTGAATCACCCCTTACCTGGAAAAGCGTAGGGGTTCAGCGATCCTCTTTTAAGGCACTTGGAACAGAGGATGTGCACAGTGTAGTACAGACCTGGCCATTCTTGAAGCAGTACATTCAGTTCTTCCACTAAGGGGGTAATAGCTTGCCAGGCTGTCCATATATTTGGTAGAGATGCGTGACTAGCAATAGACAGAGTATCTGGTTGCAGAGTACTCCTAGCAGGCCTGTAACTCACCACCACAGGCACCTTCCCCCTGTAGGCATAAATCTGGTATTTGCCATCAGACCGCTGAACCACATGGCTGTTAATCTGGACACTGTAGCGTGCAAATAACCCAGGTGGGAAAATGAAGGGGAAGGTGTATTCAATCTGCAACTGTTCAATGACAAGAGACTGTCCACTCAGGTTTGTACCATTAATCCACGCCTCTGCATGGGGCACCTCGTTCTTCACATAGCAGGGGAACTTGTACCAGGCAGTGGCCCCATTCAGGGGTTTGCATTTGGGCTTATTGATGCAGTAGCAGAGCCCCATTTTCTCCAGCAGCTCCAGGATAAGCTGCAGGTCCTCCCGGCTCTGGATATGGGGCTTAAGAAGCAGGCGGATAACATGAGCAGGAAGGAGCCCATGCAGCAGGAACCCTTCCACGTAGTGGTGGAGCTGGGTGGTTCTCAGTTCATCTATATGGGTGTCACTGAGCAGTTTCTGGAGCAGCACCGTGGTGTCCTGCTGGCAGAAGACATTGAGGATGTCAATGAGCCTGGGCAGATTGTGGAATACATACTCCCGCAGAGTCAGATGTTCCTCGAAGTACAGCAGCTTGCCACTTTCATGCAGATAGGACAGGGCGCTCTGGAGTCGATCCTCGGTCAGGCCCGCCTGCAAGCCCAGCCGCGCCGAATCCCACCAGCTGAGCCACAGTTGCTGAGCCTGCGGCTGGAAGTGCAGCTCTTCCAGCACCTGCCAGGACTTGGGTAGCACCCGGTGGAGGTTTGGGAAGATGTCCCGGTGCTCAGCTACTGACAGAAGCTTGTCCCGCAGGCGGCGCACCTGGTAGTGGTCCTGGCAGCTGATGGGCAGCACCGGCGAGAGGATCTGCGGCCGGTGGTTGAGCAGATACTGGAACTGGGCCTTCTTGCGCCGCAGGTTCTTGTCTGAAACCCCATAGAAGGCAGTGTGGGGGCTGGAGCAACGCAGGTCAAAGTCCTGTCCCAGGGCATTGTCCACCTGCTGGGCCAAACTCTGGAGTCCCTCAGCATCCCGCTTCTCCTGCAGGGCAATTTGGTGGTGGATGTCCAGGCACTTCTCCTCCAGTTCCCGCTCAGCACACAGGTCAGCATGGGTGCCCACCATGCACACTACAGCATGGGGCACTTTGGCACCTAGCCAGTGCAGGAAGTAGCCCACTGCGGAGTAGAAGCAATGTGGGGTGTAGGCACTCAGGTTCACCACCAGCACATACAGGGCTCCCGGCGAAAGGAAGAAGGATTGGATCACATCGTAGCTAGGGTCACCCGCCAGCTCATACACAATGAAGGTCAGACCCCTCTCTACATCTGCCGTCCAGTCCGTCACCTCGATGCCCTGGCTGGTGCCTGGAAGCCCTGCAACCAATGGCGTCAGGGGGGCGTCTCGCTCCAGCAGCATGGGGAAGTGTCCTATCTGGGCTTCCCCATTAACTTTTCGGGATGGAGACAGGCAGCTGTCCTGGTGCTCTAACTTGATTTTCCCAGCAACTTTAAGGGACGGGGACAGCAGTGGGTCCTGCTGCTCAATGGAGGCATATCCTAGCGAGGAGCCTTTTGCAGACGAAGCATCTCGGGGCTCAGTAATGGCGCTATGTCCTAGCTGTATTTTCGCAACCCCTTCGGGAATCAGGCCCAGGGTGATGTCTCGTTGCTGCTGGGTTCTCCCAGCATCTTTGCCAGGTGCAGCCAGGGGAGAGTCTCTCTGCCTCTCCTCCTCCATCAGGCACCTTCTCAGCAGGGTCTTGCCAGCATCCTTCAGGCCCATGAGGACCAGCTTGAGGCGGGGCTTGAGAGCAGGCTGGGAGTGTGCCAACTCCTGCTGGTAAGCGGCAATGTAGGGGATGCCCTTCATGCAAACCTCGTAAGGGGGCTGGATGAGCGGGTTGTCCTTGATCTTCCAGAGGGTGACCCGGGAGAGCTGCCCAAAGCCCTCGGGCAGGATGGCGATCTGGTTGCCCTGCAGCACGAGTTCCTCCAGGCTGTGGAGCTGCACAATGGAGTCGGGCAGGTAGCGGATGCGGTTGTTGTCCAACCAGAGGGTGCGGAGCTGATGCAGCTGGCAGAGGCGGGCAGGCAGCAGGGGGAGCTGGTTGCGGCTCAGGTAGAGCTCCTCCAGGCTGGGCAGGGCAAGCACGGCCTCGGGGAACTCACCCAGCACGTTGGAGGAGAGGTTCAGCATCTTGAGGCGCTGCAGGCGGCCGAAGCCGGGGGGCAGGACCCGCAGTTGGTTCCCGTCCAGCATGAGGCTCTCCAGGGCGCCCAGCTGGCACAGCCCCTCGGGCAGGGTGCCCAGCCCCGTGCCGCTCAGCCACAGGATCTTAAGGCAGCGCAAGGCAGCGATGCCCTCGGGCAGGACGCGCAGCTGCCGGTTGCCAGAGCAGTCCAGCTCCTCCAGCGCGCCCAGCTCCAGCAGCGGCGCCGGGAAGGCGGGCAGCTGGTTGTGGTCCACGTCCAGCGAGCGCAGCCGCGGCAGGCGGCCCAGCGCCTCGGGCAGGCGGCGCAGGCGGTTGAAGCTCAGGTCCAGCTCCTCCAGCTGCCGCAGCGCGCCCAGCCGCCCGGGCAGCGCCGCGCCGTCCGCGCCCAGCTGGTTGTGGCTCAGGCTCAGCTTGCGCAGCTCCCGCAGCGGCGCCAGCGCCTCGCCGTCCCCCAGGCCGCCGAGCCGGTTGTGGCTGAGGTCGAGCTCGGCCAGGCGGCCCAGGTGGCGCAGCGCGGGGGGAAGCCGGGACAGGCGGTTCCTGCGCAGGCTGAGGACGCGCAGGCCGCCCAGCGCGGCGCCCAGCCCCTCGGGCAGCTCCTCCAGGCCGCGCCCGCTCAGGCTCAGCGCCGCCGGCTCGCCCGGCCCAGCGGGCAGCGGCGGGCGGCGAAGCACGGGCGGCCCGGCGGGCTCCGGCTCCTCGCGGGGGCCCAGGCTCAGCTGCCGCAGGTTGCTCCGCAGCTTCCGTGCGCGCAGGGCGGCGTCTCGCCAGCGCCGGGCCGCCGCGGGGGGCTCGGGCTCGGCCATAGCCGCGGGAGTGGGGCGGGCGTGGGGCTGCCCTACCGGCCGGGCCTGGCCGCGGAGCGCTCGGCGCAGCCCCCTCCAGCCGCCAGGCCGGGACCTCCCCAGCCCGCCGGCGCCCCGGCAGCCGCCAACCCCATGCTCCGCGCCGGCCCGGCTCCGGGAGAGGGAGCGCTGCGCTGCGCCGCGCCGCCCCGCCGGGGGAGGGGCCCAGGCCGGCCCGCCCCCCCGCCAGGGGTGGGACACAGACCGGCCCCCAATCTCCGCCCTTTCCGGCTTCCTTCACCCCTGCCTGGGCTCAGCGTCCCGCACCCCGACCGGCCCTTCGCCCCATTGCCGGGGACCGGCGCCCCACCTCCCCTCCGTCCCAGCTGCTCCGGCTCTGGCACAGCCCCACACCCCCCAGGCCTGCCCAGACTGCCTGCAAAACAGCGCCACCTACTGCTATTTCCTCACCTAGACCTTGGCAGGGCTTGAAGCCATTCACAGCACAGACTTGGTCCCCTTGAGTTACAGGGTGTCACGGAGTCTCGGGGCGATGTTCTGGAACTGCTCCGAATGAAGCCAGTCAGGACTCTGGTTTAACAGGCCTCCTCACTCTGAGCACAGTGTCTGCAGGGCAGGAGCCTATCCGGCTTCGGCCTTCCTGGGTCTGACCTCAGAGCATTCAGCATCCCTGTTTCACCATGTGCTTCCCGCAGCGAGTCCGCCTGGGCTGGGCAGGGCTTCTGAGGAAGCCAAAGGACCCTGCACCCAAACTCCACACTCAGCCATGACTCTCAGCCAGCGAGTAAAACAGAAGGTTTCTTAGTCCACAGGAACACAACATAGTACAGAACTTCTTAGTACAGAAATCAGTGATTTTCAGCCAAGTCCATCTTAGGAGAACCCCAGATATTCTGGACTCACCCTTCCTTGAGCCCCTCATTGTAGACTGCCCTGAACCCTGCTGCCTGGCCTCTGACACGCCTGTTGCTCCTCCTCTGGTCTTTGTCCTACTTCCCAGGCAAAGTGTCACCTGGTCGCATCCCCCTCCTGGTTCTCAGGTTACGAAGGCCACCCCATAGCTTACATGCAGACAGCTGGACCAATCTCACCTGCCCCAAGGGCCTCAGCAATAGTCACACACCCAATTCCCACCACCTAGGCATTGGTGCAACACACAGGGAAACTGAGGTACACACAGTGTTCATACAGGACAGTAAGCCTTACATGCAACATAACAAGGGGGGGAAACCCCACTTTGTCACATGGGGGTTGTGGAATCAGGCTGTCACTTTCTCTGCACCCCAACTGCTGGGGATGGGGGAGTGTCTTTTGCCAATGGTGACACATATTTGCTAGACAACAGTAGAATGTTGGGTATTGGCAGGGCCGTCCCTAGTCATTTGAGGGGGCTGTGTGGGGCCCCAGGCCTCCCCCCCACCCCAGGGTCTGGGAGGCAGGAGCTTTGGGGGGCCCCACAGGCCCAGAGTGGCCCAGGGGATTAGCAGGGGGCCGGGAGCAGCCCGCTCCATTTCCCTCGCCCCGGCCCCAGCCATGTCGCTTGGGAGAGGGGACTTGGGGGAAGGGATCCCCCCTCACTCACCAGCAGCGGCGGGAAGCGGAGCAGCCCGGCCCCAGCCCACTCTACTCCGCCAGTTCCCAGCCGCGGCGCTCCGCTTCCCCTCGCCGGTGAGAGCCGGGGGCAGTCCTTTCCCCAACCCGAGTGACATGGCTGAGGCCGGGGCAAGGGAAGTGGAGCGGGCTGGGGCCGCGTCTTTCCACTTCCCATCGCTGGTGAGTGTGGGGGGCGATCCTTTCCCCACACTCACCGGCGGCGGGAAGCGGAGCACCGCGGCTGGGAGCTGGCAGAGTAGAGTGGGGCTGGGGCTGAGTTACTCCGCTTCCCACTGCTGCCAGTGAGTGTGGGGTTGCTGGGGGAAGAGGTGGAATGGGGGCAGGCCGGGGGCAGAGCAGGGAGGAAGAGTAAGAGGCAGGGCGGAGGGAGTTGTCTGGGGCCCCACACTCCCCTAGGGACGACCCTGCCCCTTGCAGGGGGGCCAGCCAAGGGATAGGGCTGGTCGCCGGGGCACGCAGCTGCCTAGGGCACCATGAAATTTGGAGCAATTTGGTGCTCCAAATTTCATGGTGCCCTACACAGCTGCGTGTGCTGCGTATGCCTAAGGACGGCCCTGGGTATTGGGATTTCTGGGTTCTGTGCCTGGCCCTGCAAGGGGAATTTGGTCTAGTGGTTGCAGACAGGCGGGCAGCCTTTCTGAAAGGCAGCATGGCTGAGAGTTGATCCACCCTTTCAGAGATCTGCGTTCTAGCTCTTCCAAAAGCAATGTTTGTGAAGGAAGGGAATGACACTTTTGCTGGCCTTCTACAGATGACTATGAACAAGACCTCAAAAAGAAGGGTTGTGCAACAAACTGAAATAATAGCAGCTGGCAAATGAGCTAGCACTAGAACTCAAGAGCTCCTGGCTTCCCACTCTGCCCATCTTTCCCAGGGCACTTTGGGCAAGAGGATTTTTCACATTTGCCCCATATGCCTTCTTGGATTTCCAACAACCTGGAATTCATGTTGGATCCCCACCCCTTTTGGTTTTGACGCTTTTTTCCACCCAAAGGCGGGAAACTGGCAGGTCATCTGACTGAGAGTCTGCCCAGCTACTGGGACAGTATATAAAGCCAGTTCACCAGTCAGGCGGGGCTGCCCATCCTGGAGGCAGAGTGTGCTGCTGTTCTAGGGAATTGCTAGTGCTGCTGTCTACTTGATAGGTAGGCCTAGGACAC